CCCTCACCCCGCCCCCTTACACGCCATCTCCCACCCGGGCCCTCCCTCCTACCGCCGTGAGCATCCCTGCCCCGCCCGAGCTGCCCCCCACACCTCCACCGTGCTCCGCCCCAGCTGGGCCGCTGCCTCCTCCTCCACAGGGACCTCCACCCGGGCGGGCTCCTCCCCCTGCCCGCCCACCGCCCCGCCCCAGCCCGTAGGCGACAGGAGCGTCACAGCAAAGACACGTCGGTGCCTCCTGCCTCTGCATCGAGGGCCGCTGAGGACTCCCACCCAGCTATTTGTCTACAGAGACTTGTGTACACATCTAGCACAAAAGTGCAATTACTCAGATGCTTGAATTTCACTCTGCAGACAATCCGCATAAATGAGCTCATGCAGACGGGCTCCAAAATATTTGTGTCAGTGGTCCTCGGAGAGGTTTCAGCGGACTCATGTGGGCCCTCCATGAACATATGTTTGGATAAACCCTGAGCAGAGGAACCACAGCGTGTACGAGCGAAGGCCTCGACACATTCACCCTGAAGGAGCAAAGCTGTCTTCGGTGGTCGTGACACTGAAAATACAGGCGGGTGTGTTGGAAGACTTCTGAGAAGAAAAAACATAAAGACTCATTAGATTGGTGTCACTGACAGCAGACAGTTGTTCTTTTTGAAATCTTGAATTTTCACTGCATGCCACAGTCACAAATGTTTGACATGTTTGAGTTTTTAACAAACTTTTTGCAACACTTGTACATTATTTGATTTATATAATGATAGTATTTTTACTGTTTGATATGTCTTTTTTATGATTTTTTTTACAAATGGAACTGAATGACTTGCAAAAAATAGGCTGAGCCCTATAATTGAAATGAGTTTGAAGACATTGCAAACCTGAAAGAAGCTTATTGTATAAAAATGTTTCATTTTAAAGATAGATTTCAGCAGCACAATAAAATAAAGTAGTTATCACCTTTATTCCGTAAAGAAGAACAGAACAGTGCCCTGTTTTTGACGCTCAACAGTTCTGTGCCTGATGTTTTGTTTTTATTCAAAATGTGTCAAATATCTACAATAATGGACTGGTCTGTACTGCAGGCAGGACAGTTAAACAAGGGACGCAGCCACACTGTTGGAACATGGTTTGACATTGTTTCGTTAAAATAAAGTGATAAAAAACAGGTTTTTCACAAAACCTGGATGTTGTTCAGCATCAGTGTCACGTTTACAGATATTCCACTGTGTAATAAATCATTCTTACATCATCTCAGGAGCTTAGCTGTAACATAATAAACAGTCTATACCTTGAGGCAACAGATGCACTTTTTATGTTTGTGTGTTTGTCAGGGGTTTTATTTTTTAAAGAGGGCAGTCTCTTTTAAGAGGTGTTCAGAGCTCATGTGAATGTATGTATCCAGTTTAAGATCAAACTGCATCAACTATTTTAGCTGTTCACTGATTTTCTTCTTTACCCTCGATGTAGAGGCACAGGCACGTTCTTTGAATCTTCAAACTATTCGTCACAGATGTTAAAATCCACAAACTATGTTAAAAAAAGGCATTGCCTTTTACAGAGTGGTGAATGTTTCTGTGAACTTTACTTCTGAGTGCCTCTGAAATTATTATGATTTTTTTTCAATAAACTCACTCATGCTCCTGATTGTGAGATGTTCAGACAACTCTTTACATTTCATTTGTTTCTTTTCTTTCTGTTTTTAGACTTTACATTTTTTTCATAGTTTATTCGCTGCTGGAATGAAATTCAAACGGGTAGAGTTAAACAAAACCTCGTCTTTGCACCATTTTAAGTCAAACACAGTTAAAATGATTTTAACTGGTTTTAGTTGCAACGATGTTTTGTTTGGTTTCACAAAAACTGGTTTTTAAAGTCCAAAGAGGGCAATGGCAATCCTGGTCCTGGAGGGCCGCAGCCCTGAATGTTTTACTTGTTTCTCTGCTCCAACACACCTGAAATGAATGAATAGATGATTATCAGGCTTCTGAAGAATGGAGGACCAAAACTAACATAATTAGAAATAAAAGCAGAAATATGCGAGCCACTAAATACACTTAAAATGCACCAATTAAATTAAAAAGAACTTTATCTCCTGTTTTATTTTTTTATTGACTTTCATATTTATTTTTCCAGCTTAGTTCCAACAAATTAGTCTATATATTTGAACACAATTTAAACTGTACTGTTTTTCAAAATATATATTAATTGTTTTTCCTTTTACTTGTACATGCATTTGTGTGTCTTAAATGTTTTTACTTAATTATGTTTATACTTTTCCCAACAAGTCTTTTTATATCTATGTGTTGCATGCTTGTGCTGCCTCAGTTTAGCTTAAAGTTTAAAGTTGAGTTTAAAACAAAGGCAAGGAGGAAAATACTACCTATACATTTATTTTTAACTAACCTTTAAGCTGAACTGTGGCATCACAAGCATGCAACACAGAAATAAAAAGACTTGTTGGACAAAATTATAAAAATATTTCAATTTAAGCATTCAAGAGACACAAATTCATGTACAAGTAAAAGTAAAAACTATGTAAAATATTTCTTTAGAAAAACATTAAAATTTAAATTGTGTTAAAATATATAATTTATTGGAATGAAGCTGGAAAAATAAATATGAAGGTCAATTAAATTATGTAACATGAGGTAAAGTTCTCCTTTTTTAAATTTATTTGGTGCATTTTAAAGGTATTTATTTATTTAAAGGTTCATTTTTCTATTTCTGCTTTTATTTCTAATTATGTCAGTTTTGGTCCTCCATACTGCAGAACTTGAAAGAGGTAGTTCACTGACTGAATCAGGTGTGTTGGAGCAGAGAAAAATATAAAACATGTAGGACTACGGCCCTCGAGGACCATGATTGCCCACCCTTTTATGAATGTGTCAGTGTGTAAAGCTAATGGATGGAATTACAGAAAGTGAAGATGTATCAAATGTCTAAGATGGGGAAAAACAATTATGACTCTGAACATAAACACAACACTCCCCAAGCTTTTTATATATTGAAAATAAAAGTTACCAAAACTGTGCATCCTCCTCCTGATTCAGTGTGCAGCAGCTCCAACAACTGTTAGAGAGGACTGACAATGGCACAGGGATGGTGCAGTAAAAAAGAAGACACATATCCCCTTGCATTAAAAAAAGAAAGAAACCTATTTAGGGCATGACTAACAAATCCCAGATGTGGAGATGTTGCATCATCATCACATCTTGCAGTGAAATGATCCATTTTGGAAAATGTCAGGCTCTATCTAATTCCTGAGCAATGTAGACATGCTGGCGCAGATTGTTTACGATATAATTTAAAGACCGACGAGGAGAGAAAGATTGTGATAAAAATGGTTATAGCTGCTTAAATTGAATCTTTTTTTATGTATTTGAACCTAATGTTTCAGGACACACTATCACTGGCTTTGCCTTTTCAGCTATCCCATAAACTAAACTCAGACTCAACCTTTTTCTCACACAGGACAGTGCAGATGTCAATTTATTGAGTATAGATTTTTGCTCAGTTTTATCCAGCTTGTAAACTACAGCTAAGCTCATGTGCTCTATTATGACTGGATTTATCTAAACTAAATTTCAGAAAACGTTTGCACTTTTTAACAGGTGTTTTAAGATCAATCTTGCTAATTGAAAAACATTTCCTTAAAAGTAGATGGTTAAATTTTTGAAATATGTTGACCTTTTTGTGACACTTGACTCATATTTAGATGACCTAATGTTTTAACCAAATGTCCATTCTTCTAAAAGTAACCCACATTTTTCTTAGAAAGGCACATTCCTCATTAATTAAGGTCAGACAGGTGACACCACCTGCTGCCAGTTCAGCTTGATTAAAGCTGCTCTGCAGACTGTCACTCAGAGGTGGTTACCTGACATGCTTCACATGATGTTTCTCACCCATGAGAAACTACCCACAGCGATCACAAAGCTCGGGGAATGGAGACTGCTCCTGTTCCAAGTGATGACCCTTTTCTACAACTACACCACAGCTGCATGTGAAGCCTTGGTTGTGTGGAGCACCTGCACTGAAATCCTCCTGCAAACTGCACTCGTCCTCACCAACAGCATTGCCTGTCACCTTACGATCATGCTGAAGCTGAACACATTCATCAGGCTGATGCTGACCCGCGTGCTGCGCTCAAAGGAGGACTTGGACTGGTGCGAGTGCTCCAGCTGCTCCACCTGGCTCCCTTCACAGTCCACCAGAAGGAACAGCTGCAGACGGAGGGGGGCTGCGCGTGGGCTGGAGTCGGCCCTGGAGGCGCTGCGGCTCTTGCCAGCGATCTGCCAACGCTGGGCGTGTGTTTGGGTCAGCCTCTTCCACACGGCACGGTCCGTCCCATCAGCTCTGTGCAGCAAGTTCAGGCTCATCGTCTCCATCGTCACGGTCCTCTGGAGATGTATCCGACCACTGGTGACAGTGGTCCAGGTGCTTGGTGCCGCTTGCAACATGTGGCCTATTTAAGCAGCTTGAATGAACTTTGGATCTAAACTGTACAAAAAGTTGTTTTCATATTTAAAATCTTAATGTTAGATATTTTGACAGCATTCTTACAAAAAAAAATCTGTTTTCATGAAACAACCTGAGACAATTTAAATGCAAAGTAGTCTACGTTTTATTGCATATTTTCTACTAACAAGTGTCTCAGTGCTACCAACTCTACAGCCTCCAACTGATGCTACGATTCAATTGTCTTTTTATACTTTTATTCAGTTACAAAGAAAAAGTTTAAAGTATGGGTAACAAAAATAAAAAAGTACCTGTAACATTGTCCAGTTTTCAATCTTTCACATTTTTTTAAACAATGCAAAAAGTTAAAATCCAAGTTAAGGCTTGATTGCAAAAGTAAGAATTACCCTAAAACCAAAAACATTCCGTGAACATTTTTCTTTAAAGCAGCGACAAGTCTACTTCATTGCTCAGCTGAACTGTGTGCACGTTTTTCTTTGCCTTGGCTTTTAACAAAAAGATGCCACAGACACACGGACGGCGTCTTACTTTCTACTTCTGTGAACACAGCAGCATGACAGAGTGCTACGTAACAATGCCTGCGCCCCGTCTGGGCTTTAAAAGCTCTTCATACGTCAGAGTTTGGCTACAACACGAACAGTGGAGGAACAAAGTCTATAGGTTTTGGTTTACAATTGTCAAAGCCATTGCAGGGATTTTTGTTTTGACTTTTTTTGACAGTAACATTCACTTTTTTGTTATTAACTAATACAAAATGCATTAAAAAGAAAAGTTATAAATGGTCCCAGTATTGCAACGTAATAAGTCATGGTGGCAGAGTGAGGGCTGGTATACCTAACTTCAACTTGTCAGTAGGTTTTTCCTTACTTTAAATAATCTATTGTAGTTTAAATGTCAGCTACGACCTGCTCTTTGTAAGGCAACAAAAGTCAAAATGTGTTGTACACAAAGCAAGAAAAGATGGATACAAGAACTAGGATTTACAAACTGCAAACAAAGTTCAAGCTACTGTAACATTTTTTGCTCTGTGATTTAAGCCATGATGCTACTCCCCCAGAAAGCTGCATTTCTTCAGAAGAAGAAATCCAAAACAAAAACAAAAAAGATGTAAAACTGAGCTGCAGTTATAAGGAAGTGATGACCTATGGCTTGGAATGAATCAAGTCTGTGGTTTACTTCAGCTGTGGAGTAAAACACTCTAAATCATTAGCTGCCAAAGAAAGAAAATCTCAACTAAACCTAACAAATCATTGCACACAGAGAGAGAGATAGCGAGAGAGAGAAAGATAGAGAGAGAGATAGCGAGAGAGAGATAGTGGAGAGAGAGAGAGAGAGAGAGAGAGAGAGAGAAGCCCAGAAGTCTTTAAAGTCTCATTAAACAGCTTTGAATTCAGCTCCCCTTAGAGACCAATCAGCAACAACAATCATGGAGGGCTCACTCAAGTTTTGAGCAAGAATGTAAATAAACCCATATGGTACGTAAAAATGGGATTACGTCAGCCCAGACACTGCCACCACAGACAAAAACTTCACTAACAGTAACATAAAAAGCCAGGGTTTTTTAAAAAGATACAAATAATACACAATGATAGAAACCAATCGTAACAATTGCAATAAAAGTAGTACAGGATGTCCAAACAGGACGTTGTTTCTCCTCCCAACAGCCCCGGCCTCTGCTGTTGGGTGATGAGTGGAACCGTTTACTCTACAGTCACTGACTTGGCCAGGTTTCTTGGACAGTCCACCTGAAAGGTAAACAGAAGAGGTTGGTCACTATTTGCCACACGGCAGCTGTCTAACCAGGGCGGCAAGTTAGGGACGCCTTCTGCTGCTGGCTGAATGCTGCAGTCAAACCATTAAACACAATTTGGTAAAATCTTCACAAAAAAAAAACACACTTTCATGAGGGAGCCAGAGATATGGCTGCTTGTCAGGACTGTGTTCATGATTTCCAAACTCCTGCCAGACAGCTTGTAATTACTCAGGCTTCTCTTGGACAAAAAGGAGGGGAGGCGTGGAAAGCAGAGTTTCAAAAACTGATGTTTACTTCTATCAGGCTGAGCTTTCTGCACATGATTGTTCTTAATGCTTTTAAAAAGTAGAATCAACCTTACTTTTATTTACTTGTTGAGTTGTTTATTGTGACCTTTAACATTCTGCTGTTGTGCAGCTTATGATCAATGCCAACAAGGTAATTTTCCCATCAGGAGTGAATATTCCTCAGAATGTGAAAGCTCATTTTTACCATAAATATAATTTAACAAAATATGTGTGTCTGGAGCATCATTTTAAATTTGACTTATGGGTGGAAGCACTTTCATCTTGCTAAACTGTTTATTTCCGGTGGTTCTTCAGAATGTTTGCCTACAAAAAAACAGGCTAGAAAGAAAAGCGGGATTCTAGAGAAATCTCTTCAAATAATGTGCTGCAGAATTCTAATAACAATTTATCTCTAAAGGTCAAACACCCCTTTAAATTAAACAATTCGGGTTTAGAAAATTGAATCAGTATGTTTAAATCCCTGCAAGCTGAAGTTATTTCCTTTGCAAAAAAAAAGTGGCATTATCAGGCTTAAAGTCAGCACTGCTTCAGGACATCTGAAGGAGATAATTCAGGTCACACTTTGGCTTTGAGCCTGGTGGGTCAGGAACTTACGTCGTAACCTCTGAGGACGGCCAGGTGGAAGGACAGCAGCTGCAGGGGTATGACGCTCAGGATGCCCTGCAGGCAGTCCACGCAGTGAGGCACTTTGATGGTGCGGCTAGAGTTTTTGATGGTTTCATGGTCATCTCTGTCACAAATCAGGATGGGACGACCCTGCAAATCAAACAAGCTTTCTAACGTCACCTAAACCGGAGTCACAAAGAGCTCAAACACCAGGTTTTCTCCCTTTTCTCATCCAAGTTGTTTTCGCTTCTCTTAAATCCGCATGTGCTGCGAATTACTGACAGCTCTGAGGTCATGCTGAACCAATTTACCAAAAAATCCCTTGTTTTAAAGGAGAAGAAAGATCAAAGGTGGGGCAGAGATAGAAGAATGCGTTGGTCAATGAGAAGGTCAAGGAATTTTAAAGGAACATTCATAAAATGAATTGTGGGTTTTGAGTTAAAATCTTCTGGATGTGACCAAAAAAAGCTGTTAATAATTCACATTATGTTTCGGTCAGCTTCCATAAAGTCAAACTTTTGTATTTTATCAGACACTTCAACATGAACGAGTCTCTTATTTGAAACATTTCCCTTTTATACCTGGCGAGCAACAACTTGCTGCAGGGCGTTTTGACATTTGGTGTAGGTGTGATCTCTCATGATGATCATGATAACCGGCATCAGTTTGTCCACCAGGGCCAGAGGACCGTGCTTCAGCTCTCCAGCCAGGATGCCCTCTGAGTGCATGTAAGTGATTTCCTTAATTTTCTGCACAAGATAAAAAAAGGAAATACACAAAAACCCCAATCAGGTTCTGTAAAACATTAGAAACTAAAGCATGAACGTGCACAATGAAGAGGAATACAATTTCAGCATTACACCTGGGATGTAAAAACAGATTCCAAAAATAATTAAAGTTCACCATAGCAATAAAAAAAGTTATTTTCTTTTGTTTTTAAATACCAACTTCAAAATAACACATTTTAGAGCTGTAATCATGATAATGCAAAATGGTGATATTTTTGTCTGTCAGAATTTCATACTGGCCCATTACCTAACATATCCAAATTAAAATATTAAAACTGTGCATTCTTTTAACAGTCTGATCTACCAAAATGAGAGAATTTGCTCACCAGTGCTCCTTCCAGGCATGTTGCATAATGGTAACCTCTGCCCATGATTAGTACACTCTTCTGCTGGTACAGCTCTGTTGCCAACTTCTGGATTTCATCATCCAAACTGAGGACTTCCTTAATCAGATCTAACAGAAGGAAGAAATTGTGGTTTTTTTTGTCATTCATTTGAGAGATTGCAGACTGGGAGCAAAAAAAATATGCTACCATTATTCTTTAATAAACTTTGGGTCCTGTTTATATTTCTTAGGTCTGTACAGGATTCAAGTATTTAATGATGCTGGGTGGAGGCTGATTGTGTGTGTGTGTGTGTGTGTGTGTATGTGTGTGTGTGTGTGTGTGTGAGAGACGTTGCTCATTAGTTTGCCATCACGACTGCAGCTAATCCACCCTCTGTCTGCTTATTTGATGCGTCTCTCATCATTTCCAAGTGGTTTGTTTAAAACAATTTAAAAAAGGTTTTATATTTTTGATCTTTCGGCTGAGAGCTGGCTTTCCAACTTTCTGAATATTACCTCACATGAGCTCAACGTTTATTCTGGCTGATTTAGATTTTTTTTGTGGCTTTGTTTACCTGGAAGCACTCTCAGGCCCTGGATTATTTCACGGCGGCGGGGCTGCATGGAAATTCTGTCGTCGCACATCAGGAGAGCGAACATGATCAGGGCCACGAACTGACTGGTGTAAGCCTGCAGAGCAAGAGTGAGAAGAATGTTATTTACTTCAGTTACAAGGTAAGATGTTTTTACCTTTTTTTATTAATTAATAAAGAAGAACAAGGGTAATGTGTGCAGATGAGATATTTTAAGACAAATGATAACTACAAGACAATATTGTTTGGTCTTCTGATTACTAGATTTATTTCTTTGCAGCAACACACTGATAGAGTAACAGCATCCAGACCCAGACTTGATCCATTTGAAGTTTTGTGCTTCTTGTTTCTTTCTTTTGTTCTCTCAGCATAGACAGTCTGCTGCTAATAACGTGCCCTGGATGAGAAACAGGGTTTGGTGCCCACCAAAACCACTTCTACATTGCCTGCAGCTGAGTTCAGACGAGCCAAAACTACGAGCCTTTGGAAAACCTGAGGAGCACGTAATGCTACATTTAAGAGCGCTCCTAATCGTTCTGGAAATGTCACCACACTGTACGCTCGCACACATCGAAGTCTGTCGTCATCACCGCCAGCTTTCTCTTTGTTCCTTTGTCTCTGAGCGTGTTTGGAGGGCTTCCATGCCCGTCGGGGAGATTTAATTAGCATTTTTGTGAAGCCAAGTTGATTCACAGGACCCACTGGACTAAGAAATGCCAGTATGTAGGCCCAAGAATATGGCAGTAAAACCTTTACTTTTTCTCCCCTCTGACACCACACAAACCACAGCTCCTCAGAACTCTGACAACCCTTGCTGTAGACTCAGATATAAAAACATTTTCAGTCTACTATGTGAACTGCAATCATCTTTCACTTCCAATTCACCAGCCTTGTTAACGCAGACGGTATAAAGCATTGCTCTGCAGACATGAGCATAAAACAAAGATTTTAATTGTTGGTCTTATGTAATTCACAAAGTAGACATCTTCCAAGTATTGTCATGTGATCTGACAAAGATCTGCCTTGTGTAAGCGTCAAAGTATTTTGTCTTTATTCCATGGATCTTGAATAAGAAAAAAGAAAAGTTTGACTTCAGAAAAAAAAGGATAAAAATTGAAACCAGCAGATGAATTTGGAGTCCTTCAGCAGTTGGGTGTGATACATGTTCTACAGTGATCTGATGAGCAGCTTGATGAAGGTGGCTGTGAGGCTCCAGCCAGCCAGCACATAAACAATGGCGTCTCTGAGGCGTGAACTGGGGCTTTGGAGCAGCACTACAGTCACTGAGCCAAGCCCCAAGTCTGGACCAGGGAAAGACCTGCTCTACTTTTCTCTTTGTACACACAAGTTTGGTTGTTTTTTTTTTTTCTTCCTCAGCTGGAAAATCCTTTCTGGTTGTGAGGTTAAAAAGAGGGAGAGGCTTGAAAGTCAAACCTCCAACATTTACATGAGTCAAGATGATATCAGGGTTTTTCTTCTTTTTCCTACTCATGGCAAAGTTAGTGTGTGTTCCAATAGGCAGGACCTGACTTGAAATTAAGGTTTTTATCTGGGCTCTGAGGACTGATAGTGGACCTCAGTGGCATGATGTACAGTTACTGTAGACTGGAGGCATAACACTAAAACTAAAAGCTTTCATCAAATGTTTGAGGTTTTACTTTACAACAGGTTTTAATTTGAATCATCACTGACTTGTAACACAATACTGGAAAATATTTCTTACTATACAGTAACTGCAACGTATTACTACTTTGCTTACTTCACATCTGCCGTGCATTTATCAACATGAATTATATAGTTTGTGTATTATTTTAAGACAACTAACTCTAAAGTAACTATGGCTAAATGCATTGTTAAAGTCAATGCCAGGTCTTCTTACTGCACAAAATAAAAGTGTATTTAGTCAAAAACTGTTTACAGAAAACACAAAAGGCAGAAGTATGTTAGTTTCAGAGAGGAGATGTGGTTGTGATGTTTACCTTGGTGCTGGCTACTCCGACCTCAGGCCCAGCGTTGATGTGGACTCCACAGTCGGTCTCCCTGGAGATAGAGCTGCCTACAGTGTTGGTGATGCCCACAGTCAGAGCGCCTCTCTCCTTACAGTAGCGCAGGGCCATGAGGCTGTCAGCTGTCTCCCCTGCAGGGTTGGCAGAAAGACTTCATTAGGAAACTGTTACACAGGAGTCTGATTTAGCATAAGAGCAGGAACTGAGCACAAAACGGAGCCAGAAGTGGTTAATCTAGAGAGTGACTGGAATACAAATGAGAACTGCAGACTAGATCAAGTCCAGATGGTATCCACACCTGACTGGCTGATAAAAAAGCAGACGTCGTCCCTGAAGACCGGTGTGTTTCTGTCCAGGAAGTCACTGGCCAGCTCCACCATAACAGGCAGCTCGGTAAGCTCCTCCAGAACCTGACGGGTCTGGAAAATGAGAAAAAGACAGCTCAATGTCGACCTGTCAAAATAAAATCCATCAAACTCAGAGCAAAGAGTGTCAGAATGTAAACCTTAATCTTTTCACCACATTACAGACAGTACAATACTCCTCCTAGTAGTCTGCTGGATCAAGTGTTGATGTTGAATAACAAAGAAGAACAAATACTCACTGCTACTCCAGCATGGTAGCTGGTGCCACAGGCAATAAGGATGAGTCGTCGACATCTCTGGATTTCTTTGATGTGATCTTTCAGTCCACCCAGTGTGACTGAAGAGGAAAATGAAACAGCTCAAACATCATTTTGCTTTTTAATTTATTCAGAAATTCACCTAAAAAATTCATATTGTTTTAATAGGAGGTACTAACTTAATCTGAACAACAATCTACATTTTGATGACAGAGTTAAAGTGCCTGGGACATCAAATTTGTGCAATAAACATGAAGACACTTTTGGAAAGATAACATTGATAACTTATGGCCAACAAAATGTCACGTTGATGAGATGAACAGCTGTTGAGATATTTTACATGTGAAGTAACAGGAAGTGATGTCAAAGGGCAACGTCTGCATGTGAACAGAGCATTGCTACAAAGGCTAACAAAGACTGTAGAGAAAATTCTGATGTTTCTTTGGATTGTTTTGAGTCACTATCAGAGAGATGAAGAGTCAGAGTTTAAATAATACTGCTTCAATAAACAATGACTAGAGACTTTCCTTTCCTTAAAGAGTTCTCCTTTGATGTCACTTCCTGTTTCACTTTGGCTGAGCCAAGTTCAAAGGAAAAAATGCCAGTTATGTGACGTATTCTTAGATTTTTTTGTATTTGAATGATATGCATATCACTTCAAACCTCAGGCCCATCGTCTAAAAGAAAAGTAAAAAAGATGAAATGCATCGATGTGTCAAAGTACAGAAAATAATTTAACAGCTTTCTGACCTGTGTTGTTGTCAAAGTTGACTCTTCCTCTCATAGTGTTCACAACAGACTCTGGCTGCTCAAAGATCTCCTTCTGCATGAAAGAGCTGTAGTTACCTGCGAAGTAAGGATCAAATATCAGGGAAGCATTTCCAACAGTAGTGGAAAGAGACACAATGCCACTAGAGAGAGACATTTTATAAAGTGAGATCCCTCGAGAAAAGTCTTCTTGACACTCATTAGGTTGTTAAAACACAGCAATCTCATTTTGGAGCAGAAAAACGTTTCACTGATAGTCTGTTTCCTGGAGCTGTAGGGCGGTAAGTGCTTTTTGTGACTTTATGAATACAACTGGAGTCACAAGATAAATTATTCAACCAAATGAAGAAAAACAAAAAAACAAAAAGAGCATTATAAAAACAAATTGAGATACTTTGGTTCCATCAAAAACAAAAACGATGACAATGAAAAATGCAAGCGTTTTCCAGCCTGCCTCGAACAGCAATTTGGGTCAGCAAATTAGATTATTCAGCAGAAAAGCTGCAGAAAATGAGCCGGAGAGAGGCTGAGTAATGACAGGACCACAAAGGAATGTCGAGAGAAGCCAGCACCAGTTTGACTCTGCCCTCTGCTGGACTACGGGGGGAACGCAAGAAAAAAAGTGGAAAAACAAACCAAAAAAAATAAATAAATAAATTGTACAACAAATAAGATAAAGTATTAAATACGAGCAACATCAGATAGGGAAAAACAAAAACACAAAGCCTGACCATAGCCTCACCCTTCATGATCTGCTGTAGTTCCATCTGCAGGGTCTGGATGGCACGGGCGGGGTGGTCTCCGGCTCTGCGCTTCATCCTGTGGATGGACAGCCGTCCGTCCATCACTGCAGCCACATCATCGTCCTCCAGGAAGATCACCCGGTTTGTGTGCTCAATCACAGCACTGTGGTAATAGGAAGACATCAAACACAATTCATGTCAAACATTTGTTTTCTGTATTCAAACTAGAGGAGCATTTTCCTTTTTTTCTACTCGTGTTTACTTACCTAGCATCAGATGCAAAGTAGTACTCCACAGCTTTCTCTTCAACAGGGAACAAGCAGGTGTCCTGGTCCAGCCTGGGTAGAGCATTGCAGTTCTTTTTGTCCTTTTTGTCTTTGCCAGCTGAAAAACAACAACAACAAAAAAAAACACAGGTCCTCAGTCCCACTTTTATAATAAAATGCAGATAAATCAGACTAGAGACAGAATCATGTAATTACAGGAGCGGTAGAGGATAGGAATATGATCAGTGGATAGCTTATGATCACTACGGACTCCAATCAGTAGAGGACTTCCCCTCCTGCAAAAAAACACAAAGACAACTTTGTACATGTAGTCCTGGTGATAGTTCAATTATGATTTTATGATGAAAGGGTCTCTTAATGCAGGAAAGTACCTGAGAATTTAAAGTAATCATGGCACAAAATGTATTTAAGTTAAATAGCAATAACACTTTGACAGAATCAGTGTAAGTGTACCTTGTGACAACAGCCTCTCCAGGATAATGGACACACTTAAAGACAAGTGCAAACGCTCCCTCCTGAAGGTGGAAAAAAAACTGGTGAAGAGGTGATTTCATCTTTTATTACCTCAGTGAGGCTGGTGTGCCTTGGTGTGTCCTTACCAGCTGCTGAGTTACACGTTCAACCAATGTGGCAAAGCTGATGTCATCACTTTCCCTGTTGTCATACATGTACTTCACCAACTTGGCAATAGTCTCTGTATCGGTCTCCGACTCAAACTCATAGCCTTTGCTCTCCTGGGGGAGATGAAGACAGTGGGTAAATCTGGTCTGTTATTAAAGGAGCAGAAATTATAAAGACAGCAGTTTAAGAAAAAACATCTGCTCACCAAGAATTTCCTCAGGTCTTTGTAGTTGGTGATGATTCCATTGTGGATCACAATGAACTCTGCAAACAAAACACACCTTCAACGTTCAGGTTTCTGTGACGACACACTGATAAAAAGAAAAAAAAAGGAGCCGTATCTTTTACACAACTGACCGTTGTTCTTGTCTGATCTCTGGGGATGACTGTTGACGGGACTGGGCTCACCGTGGGTTGCCCAGCGTGTGTGAGCAATGCCGAGATGAACATCAAATTCCACATCCAGGTCAATATCCTGCTGCTCTAAAGGTCAAACAAACACCACCAGAACAGATTTAATACGCCCAGGATTTCATAAATGACGATTCACGGAAAGTGAGCTCAACTAAATCTCATCTTACTGTGAATCTCCTCATCGAGAGCCTTTACTTTTCCACGTTGTTTGATCAGTTGGATAGATTTGGCCTTCGTCTCCCACTCCTTGCCATTTCCCCCATCGATGCCCACACCTAAAAGATTTTACAGTATTTAAAATGAGACAATCAACAAACTTTGGGCCTCATGCAAGAAC